GTTTGCTCGCTCGGAGAAAACGATCTCCAAACGATCTCACTGCCTTGTGAGCCCACCTCGCAGCACATGCCCGCCCCTGCCCACAGCTCGGCTCACCTCCCCTAGCGTGCCCACCCGTGCCTTGCCTCACCTTGCCTCCCCATGCGTGCCCACCCGTGCCTCACCTTGCCTCACCACACGCACCACCCCTGCCCCTGCCCGTGCACACCGCTGGCACCACCTTTTCGGCCCGCGCCCAGCACCGGCAGCTTTCAGCTAGCCCCCTGGTGGAAAAGTTTGAGAACCCCTGATACAGAGGATTCCCTTGAAATACAAAAAACATAACTTTTTACTGACAGTGGCAGAGGAGAGAAAGAGTTTAATCCATCTAGTCTGTCAGGCTCCCTTTGGATGATTTACATAACTGGCATTGAAAATTGGGTCTGCTATTCAGATTAGTCCTGAGTTTCAGAAGTGCCTAACTTTGTAAGCACAGGTCATATTTTTAAGTATTAAACAGTTCAGATACAAGAGTGTTTCAATGTGTGTGCTGATATGGGTAAATGAACACTTCAGCAGTAGGCCGTGCTGTGGCCATGACACCTTCTGCTGTCATGGGAGTTAATTTTCTATCTAATCTAAGATTGTGGAAGTTGCCATGGCAGTTTTTCATATATTTTGTTGTAGGAACTATGAAGTTTTATTTATTTATTTATTTATTTAAAACATTTCTATGCCACCCCCATCGCAACAAAGCCTCGGGGCGGCTCACAGCATATAAACACCATCTTGTGTAAATGAGTACTGTACTTGTGTCATGATAGAGTCTGTTCATGAGAAATGATGTGTGATAAACTTCATGTCACATGACTGACATGAATGTGTAAGGTTCCTTATAAATCCAGTAAAGTGAGGATTAAATTCTATAAACAAGTTGACACTTTAATTAACTTTCCTGGGGGTGTTTGTGTAGCTCTTCACAGGGGAGTAATTTCTGTGCTGAGAAATTTAGAGAAGAAGTGAGAATAAAGAATATTGATGCAACTTAAATTGAGATGCTTAACCTAATATTTTTGTTTTTGTTTTTTTGCAGCCAGAGCATGGACTAGGCTATATGCCATGAATAATATTTAAATGTGCTCTGAGTCAGTGTGCATCAATTTTTCCTGTTCTGCCAAGACTTCTTCCTTTTTGTTTGCATTTAATGGACACAGTCTTAGAAAACATTACAGAATAAAACCCAGACATCAGTTCTTTGGTGATTTAAATGCACACTAGCAAATCTGTGTCTTGTCCTATTCACTCCTGTTCCGCATGAGCAGAGGCTAGAAGTATCATCGGGATTGTTTGTGAAATTGTTTAAAAGCAGTAGCACATCTCTGCTTTTAATAAGTTTTTCCCATCATGAGTTAAGTGTAAGCACTGTGAATGAAAGTAGTCAGGGTTAGCTGCAGGGATTTTTTGTTCTAATTGTGTGGGTTCTTTCTCCCTTTTTTATGGTGATGCTAATTGCATTGGTTAAAGCAGCTAACCTGTTATACTCTAGAATATGCCCTCTAGCCAAGTCTAATTTAGACAATGTAGATGGACAAGCTTGGTTGTTTGAACAAAAATGGGAACATCAACCTCCATTCACTAATAATATCGTGGTTCTGCTGTCAAGTGTAAAAATCCTACCTTCAAGGAAAAAAGCTTGTGACCATATTGTATGGCTTGTCTGGAAAACCTGTAAATCTCATGTTTTAGTAAAATATTTTGTTATTCTACTTGCCTTTGTACAGTTTGTTTTGCTGTGTTCTTTTTTCACTTTTCAATTGTGACAATCTTTTTTTTTTTTCAATGAAGCCAGATTGGAACATCTTGAACTTCACCAACCTAACAGATGTAGTAAAATATTGGACTTTTTGCTGACTTGTATTAATAGTCCATGCCTCATTAGTGTTCATAATATTTGGGGTTTTATGTTTTTAAAAAGCCTCTGGTAAATGTAATTGCTTATCAGAGTCTAAGTAGGTTAGATGCATCATTGATGTGTGTATGTACTTGCAATGTTAAGTACCACTGAAGCAAGAAGCTAGCAAAACAAACAGCAATTTGGGGTATATGTGTAAACCTGTCTGTCTTGTGCTAGGTATTATCAGGTATCAGACTACACATTTAAAGGTAACTTGCATCTTTAAAAAATGGTTCCTCTGCATAGAAAGGTATATTACAGTACAGATGAATTGGTTGCTAAGGTATTTGCAGCTAGCCTTGCTGACTCTGGCCTTACCTGCAGTCCTTAAGCTACTACTTTCTTGACCCATTTCTTCATTAGGAAGATAGAAATTGATTTATTTTTAAAGCCATCATGTTAAAATGTAAATAACTCATGGGAGTATATTTTATCACATTTCGAACGTCTGTATTTCTTAACTTTTCTGACCCTACTACTTTGCCTTGACCATCTTCTGATCTCTTTGCTTTCAGTGTGGCCAGTGTAATGACAGCTTGCCATGGATAAACTCTGTCTTGCAGTTCAGGGGTACAGTACTGAGGTCCATTGTTTCCTGTCCATCATACCTGTTCTAGCATAATCTGGGGTTTCTATAGAATGTGGTTGTATGTATTGTGCTCTTATGTAAGATAAAGAATATCTATTAAAATCACATTTTCAATGGACAAAATGCTTTTAGTGATGGTATTCTCCCTCAAATTGATTCCCATATAGCATGAGAAGTCTGATCTAAGAGAACAACCACCTCAAAAATTGTTCCTAGCTGAAATTAAATTGTAACTAATCTTGCAAGCTGATTTATAGCATCCTTGCTGTAACAGAGCACTATTAATATATTCTTTCAACCAATATTCTCCTGTATTTTATTGACCACAGTGAACATGAACAAGGACATATACTTGCATTGCTGTTAAATCCTAGGGATGTTTACTCAGAAGCAAGTCCTACTGGGTTCAACAAGACTTACTTTCTGGTAAATCTATTTGGGTTTACAGACTTCTTAAAAATAATTGCATAGTGGATGGCTTTGTAGTATATATTTCAACACTTGCACACTAACTCTTTTCTGGCCTTCAAAATTCTTATGCTCTGGGGTTATGCCTTCTTTTTTTAAAAAAAGATCTCTGACAATATAATTTTGAGTTTTTTGTAACTTACATTCTGGGATTAAACCACTGAATTGTATTCCTTGAAAAAATCTGTAAAGCTGTTGTAAAGAAAGCAAGAATACAGCAGCATGTTTAAGTATATAGTACATGTGACAGCTGTACTGTTAGAATTCTTAGTATTCAAACCTACCGCCATAATCTAGTCAAAATTAAGTACTGAATTAGTTGAAGAGTTACAGCATGATTCTGAGCATGCTTGCAGATAATACCTCTGGCCTGGTTCACAATGATCCTGAGTTTTGGTGGTTGTTGAATCTTGGGTGGTGGTTACAAAGAACCCATGAGGACAAGTGATGTTGATGGAATATGAACTCTGGGTTCATGGCTAGCACCATTAATGGAAGTATAGTTCATTATTTGCACATAACAAGTACACACAATCTGTACTTACAGAGTTACATGTGAACCAGGTCACTGAGTTCAGTAAACCTTTTCCACGAGTGTACACAGGATTGTAGCTTTGAACACGAGCTTATGTATCTCCTGTTGAAGTAAGACTTAAGTTGTTAACTTTGTATGTGACCTCTTTTTTCCTCCTGGCATGTAGAAAATGGCTATAAATGTGTATGGATAACTGAATCAAGAACTTAAATTTTGGAGGCAGCAGCACAAATGCTGTGGGTGCAAACTGAAACCTTTTAAGAATTGTTTTTCTTCTGATCAGCTGTCCATGGAACTGTGCACAGCATTTGTAACTCACTGTGTTTAAAATAATCTTTGAAAGTTCAATTCAAAAGCTGCTTAATAAGTATGTATGCTGTCTGTTACTCATGCATACTTAAAGAACTCTTGTGCAAAATTACTTAAATGTTTTCTAAAATTTGTAATTTGGGCATTCCACAGGGACAATAGTTAAGATGGAAAACTCACTATAGTTCTACATGCTGAAAATGATGAATAATGTGACTTTAAAATTTATGTTCTGAATTCTCAATTTTGTATCCAAACGTCAATCCTAACAAAGTGTAAACATGGAATGTTTTTAAGGGGATAAGGTACCCAGGTACTTGAATCTTACATGTGTATTTAATGGAATCAATACTTTAGCATTTGATGTAAAACTATACTGTTTTTCCCCTTTTAGCAAATTCAGTTTGCAAAACTCAACATGCTTCAACTCTGACCCTCAGTCCAGTCATTCTGGAGTGTTCCCATGAAGTATGCTGAGCTCTAATACAACTACTCAACAATAAATAGGTTATTGTAGCCTTTGTACAACTCACCCTGGTTGAATTGTTCCCCTGTACTGATAAGCAGAGTTTAATTATTCCAGCTTCTACAATTAGGTCTTCTTACAATATGAAAATATATTTGCTTTAGTTAATATTAGGAAGAAAGATTAGATTCCTTTAGTGAATTACAGTACAGTTCCATATTAATCTTGGTGCTAATAATTAACAGGCTTGAACATTTCTCATATGTACTGATTTATGAAGCCTATGCTTAAATTAATGTTATCAGTAATTACTTTTCTTTAATTAGTAAACAGTAGATCTTGTGTTCATAGTAATATCCTTGAAAGGAGGAAAACCTAAATGACAGACACACATCTGTGCTTTGCATGGATAAACTGTTAACTGACAAAACTAAACATATTGCATATCAAATGTAATAATGGCCTAAAATGTGGATTGTATGCTTTTAAGGGAAGCTTATTTCCAGCACGTTATGGCTACTGTAAAACATCTGGGCTAGTTGAATCACAGATTCATGTATATCTGAGCTTATTAATGTACATTCCTACCATTTTCAGGGTTATTTTAAAATGCCTGATAGGTTCTGTTTAACATCTTCTGACTGTAATGTTATGACATTGAATAAAAGGAAGAGTGATTATTCATTATACAGTGAGCTTCTCATTTTAAGGAGCACTTTTTTTAAAAGTGAGGCTGGTATTTTTACAGTAATCATTAAACATATTTGTGAAAATAACATAAAAGGATATAATGTGTCCCCTTCTCAATTATAGCTGTGTACATGGAAAGAAGTCTTGTATTTTTCACCAAGTACATAGTTGATTGATATAGGAGTTTAGTAGCTTGATTTGTTTTCTCAGGGCACAATTTTATGCTTGTATGGACAGAAATTTCTACAACATCCAGCAATCTCTAGCAAACATAACTGTCTGGGAATTCTGGGAGTTGTAGGACTTTTCTCATCTAAAAATGCATAACAGTGTGCCCTTTAGTGAGGATATTTATATCTCACCTTCTTACAAAGATCTCAGGATGGTTGACAGTAAAATATAATAAAATAGTAAAAAGATTAAATACAAGTAAAAATACAATCACTATTGTAGATAAAAGTTTAATTTCAGCAATAGGAGTAAAGGCAGCTGATAAAGAGGTCTTCATCTGGAAGCAAAGCCATCCATGAAGGTGCCAGTTGATGGTTTCTTGGTAGGGTTTTGCGTAAGTACTGCGCTACCACTGAAAAGACCTTTTTTTCTATGGCCACCTGCTGTACTTTGCTTTGCAAGGGCACACAAAGAAGGGTCTCCAACAAAGATCTTAAGGTTCAGGCAGGTATATGGGGAAGGAGAAATCCTCAAGCTGTAAAAGGTCTTTAAAAGTCAAATATTTTGAACATCATACAGCCTGGTGTCAAATTTGTATTAAGTTGCTGAACTATTTTCCTAGGATTAACATATTGTAACTCTGTGCTACAAAAGCTATCTGGCCTTCTAGCTACAAAGATTAGACCAACAAGGAGCCTCTGAGCTTTGAGCCTGATCTTTCAGGAATGGTATACCCCCAAGGAGAATAGAAGTCTTGGGTCTTCTGGTGCTTGTTCTGAAGGTCCAATAAGGTCCAATACTGAAGAGTTACTACTCCTAAACAGGAGAATAGATATACCAGGACAACTGTTATGCTAACTTTTGCTTTGACTACTGCAATGTATAGCTTGCTGGATTGAAATTATTTATGTAGCCTTTTTTCATATCCCAAAGCCCATCTGTGCTTTATTCTGAATCTAGCTTTGAATGACCAAGTTCTTCACACCCTTATAAAATTGCTCTGGATTTGTGGCAATGGTGGGGGGGGGGGGTCGAGGATTGGGCAAGCTTCATACTAGTGGCCTGAGTTCTAAGATTGCTCTGGTCCAGTTGGTTTCTAAGATCATTTCTCATGTTCTTTGCCTAACATAATTCTCTGCCCTGGTATTGCCTATCCTATATTCCCCATTATTCCTACTGTCTTGTTTACTTAGATGTTGACATGGTATAGCCACAGGAAAAAGTTTTAACACGCTGGTATACACCTGTGGAGTTCAAAGCTATTTCCTACATACAGCACAGCACAGCCTGTCAACTCTGTACTCCCATTTTTGGTGTCTTGCAGAAAACTGCAACCTATGTGTGAATTGTCAGTTTTGAGTCCAAAGGCAGTGGCTAAGTGGGGAACATAGAACATGAAAAGCTGCTACCAGAGGTCCTGCGTGGATTATAACCATGCTAATTTTCACTGGGAATGTTAAGAAGTCCTGCTTCCCAGGCTTTGCATATGGACTCTATTGTTAAACTAATGCACGGTTGCTCTAAGGTCCTTAACAGTTAAACTTCTGTTGGGTTTCCTCTTCATTGACATAAAAACTAGAAGATCAAGGATCTATTTGAATCTGCTGTCAGAAGACTGTCTCTTGATAATTAAAGTAGTGCTCAAGATTAATTAAACAACTTGAGGCTTTTGCTCAATTTTTAAATCCATAACTAAGAGCTGATGGTAGCCTGTGTCCACATTTATCCAACTGGTTATACCAATCAGGAAGTCAAGTCTTTTAAGTGTCCCTTCTAAAGCCAGATAACTATCAGTAGAACATAAGCCATTCTTTTTATCTTCCCTATACACCTATTTCCATTCCTGTAGCACACAATCATCAGCACTTGAGCATCTTTGGTAGCATAGCCTTTCTAACCTGATTTTCCATTTCCATAGTGCATCTTTATATACCAGAGATATATGTGACATTGCAGAAGTTGCTGGACTGGTGTTGCAGTCCAACATCTAGAGGGTCGCATTTGTTCTATGCTTATTTGACGCCTTATTTGGAAAATGATAATTTCCTCAATCTTTGTCTTTTGTCTATCTCTGTTAGAACTAGTTTACTGGTCCATATACTACTGTAATGTTATGGTATTGGGTATGGATGTGGGTAAGTTAATATCATAGTCTAACTCATAATACTTCAGTTCTTAATGTTTGACATGATTTCCCAACTGTAGAAGCAACAATTTTCCACTTTGCTGAAACATGGTACATAAATTAACTTCTCAGGTAAAAGTCCCCTTACTACAACATCAGTCATTATAAAAGAAAATCAGAACAATCTGGGGGGTTGACTTGCACAATCATAATTGTGTTTTCATTTGTGGAAGACACATTTGGACCCAAGTCTATAGAGAGCCCTTTCTTTAGTGTAAAAAACTCAGAACAGCTTGCAAAATAAGCAACAAACAATAGTAAAAACCAGTTTCCACCAGAGATTCTAGGAAAATAACTTCAAGATCGAGTAGGTGCTTAACAAGCATTTCTAAGCAGAGATCTACAACTGAGGACCTCTTCCTAATCATACCTGCCTCACTTCAAATGATAGTGGGACCTAGAGAAGTGCCTTCAGAGATAACTTACATTAAAGGTATCAACAGTTTCATGTTGGAAATGCAATCCTTCAGTTATTCAGGTTGTGTGCAAGAGGTATGAGTATTTGCAGTAATCCCCAGAGAGCAGAAACTAGTGCAATTATTTTAGGTGCTGTGGAGATCCCTCTTAACTGGTGTATGTTGGAAGCCTAGTGATCATAGTTTCAAAGGCAACACTGCAGGAGAATGTTCTAGTCCTTGGAATATATGGACTAAAATCTTGGTGTCGATGCCACATAAAGGCTAAATTAAGTAGATACCCTTCCGATTCAAGGAAATCTTGAATGTATTAATATTTTGACTTCTATTTTGTATTCCAGGTAACTGCTGTATTCTTCTACCTAAAAATCTTCAGATTTTGATCATGCTCTTAACTACAGTATTCTTTACAATTCTCATGATTAAGCATATTTGCACATGAGTGATTCTTTTAGTATGTCCTGTGTTGAAGGTCAGTTTTATTCTCGCAAATCAGATCCTTAACACACATTCTGTTCCATTGGAAAATTCTTAGATCCATTACAGAAAAGTAAAATGGACCTTTGCTTCTATCTGTATTGAACAAATACAGAAAACCAGTACTTAAGAAAACCAGTACTGCTGAAGATGAAGGGTACACAACGGCATTCTTTATGACTTTCCTGAATTCCTGGCCTATATAATAGAACAGAAAAATAAAGACAGAATTGTTAATGATTCATGGTTTGTTGAAAATGCAGTGGGAGCTAGTGCCATCTGAACTCATGAGTCATTGGAAAAACAAACTGGGTTCAAATTCCGAGTTGCTCATCCCTCACCAACCCAGAGTTCCGGTTTCCTTTAGACTTCATATAAACAACCTATGGACAAGGTTTCATATGAATAACCTATGTCATATGTTTATACGACAAGGGCATGCCTGGATTGTTCATCATAGGGAAATCAGGTACATAGCCAAAACCAGCATTTGTTACTAAGTCAGTAGCTCCAACTGTACTTGTGGTGAAAACAAGCATTTTACCAAAGTAGTTCTATGTTTACAGTTCTTCCTCTGTAAAAATAGGTTTTAATTCCTAAAAATTACCACTATGGAACAGTACCAGAACCTCTACAATTATTCTTCTGGTCCATTTCCCTATACTCTGCTAACCTTGACTAGTAATTTGGGGGTCAGAAATAAATGATCAGCAAACAAATCTTGGATATAAGTACTCATAACTCACTTCTGCAAATTTATCTTCAAGATATGTATAGGGCAGACAAGCTGAAGTTTCACCCTTTCACAGTCTCTCTTTCCATTGCCAGACGACGTTATTAAGAAAACAGCATGGACCACACTGAATAGATGCAGTTTCTCCTAAGTAATGCAACTGTGGTAGGGGATTGGATATTTTTTTCCTACTGTACAGAACTCTTTAAATAGTACCAGTCACCCTAGGCTACACCATTCCTACCACTGAAGCCACAGTTACACCTCCAGTTAAACCTCCCCATTCAGTTGCTATTGCCTGGAAAGCTTTGAATTTATGAAAGAATTGTGTAGACAGTTGTGAACGGACTTCCTCATCCAGTTCTATATTCTTGCAATTAAATCCAGGTATCAAATATAGTATTGCATATAACCTGGAAAGGGAAACTGCATCACAGCTGATCAGAGTATGGGACCATCCAGCTCAGAACTGTTGACCAGCTGGCAGCAAGCTCTGTGGCATTTGTATTTTTCCCAGCAGCTGTTAACTTATTTTCTGACTGGAGGGGGCAGAAATTAAGCTTGGGACCTCCAGCGAGAAATGGGATTAATGCCACTGTCATACTATAAAATAATACAACTTCATTTTCCATCCAAGATTCTTGGCACCTTGCTATTACAATGTACCATGCATCTGAAGTAGGACTATCCTGCCAGCTTAACTTAAGGAAACTTAAATACTTAACTTAAGCATGGTCATGGAAGCATAACTATGGGCATAAGGAGAACAAGCAAAAGTACTTCTCTCAACACCTCTATTCATGAGCTTAACTGCTACATAAAGGATCTACAATCTTTATAAATTAGGTTTTATTTTTTTTTTTATTTTGGAGGTTCATTTCAGATATAAAAAGTCAAAATTCTTACACCAGTCTTTAAAAGAAAGCCATGCACACAGTTCAAAATGTTTACAACTTAAATTGTAGCTTCCTTCAATTTTTAACTTCTTAGAAGCATGTTCAGCAATTGTTTCCAACATTTTGACAATAGCCCTGGTTTACAATAAGCATTCAAGGATGAAATGTTCATTTTTAATAGCTTTTGTAACCTATATGAATACTCTTGTTCACTGTATCAAGCTTCCACTGCATTCAGTCAAGACTCATCTATGCTTTTCTCGTAATGATCTTCTGACCTTGCAAAGCATATCTTTCTTAGTCCAAGTCATAGACTTCCTACAGAATCTGGTCCAAGTCAACTTTTATCTCTATGGCTTGTAATGCCAGCTACAGATTCAAAGGTCACTTAGAGGGAACTTGGTTCTAGATCCAAGATCCACAAGAACACTTCAGTATATGTCCATGTCATTAGAAAACCTGAACCTTTAACTGGAATTATGCAACTCTGAGAATTAAACCTGGCAAAAGAGGTGTTTGTTTTATTTGACACGTCTTGTTGCTTAGCCTATTTTTCCAAACTATGAGATTAGGCAGTGTTCACTTCTTCGGGTTCTTATGTTTATTAATGAAATGCAGAAATGGTACCTAATAGCACAATGGACCTTTGTTGTTCCAGTGTATCATGTTGCAGGACAGACTTCAGACATCAGTATGAGTAAAGGACTTTATCTTAAGTTGCATAGGCTGAATATATCTATACACCTATATACTTAAACCTATGTGGCACAGCAGCCTGGAGTATTTATAGGCCATCACCTTTGATTTGGTTAGCATTGGCAACTGTACATTTTTACATAGTACATCATGTTAGAAACCAAAGTAATCATGCATTACCAATATGTAGCTTCTATCAACGTGGCTTGGTTTTATATTCCAAAAGCAAAACTTGAGATGAAAGCAATTGCAGGAACCATAAATTCAGTTTGCTCTTACGTTCATCACTATGACAATCAAGATATTTCTTATGTTACCACCATATGGTCGGTGAATATCTGAATAATACATGGGACTGTGGGGCTAAAGTGCCAACTCAGAATTCAGACAAAATGCATACTTTTTAGGAACCAGCCATTTCCCCAATCTGATTATTATATGGTTTCACATTAATGGGTCTGCCATCAATCTGTACTGTTAGCATTCTTCAGTTTCATCTGAACCTGAATATGGAAGATAAATCTCTTCAAACACAAAACTGGATCATGACCTACTGCTCCATTCAACTATCTAGGCTACTATCACCTAGAGGTTCTAACCTGTGGCAGATGTTCAAGTCTATCTCCTATTAGTAGTACTTATGGCTCCTAAAGCAACACTTACATTCAAAACTTACAAATGTCCCTTGTTTAAATGCATTTATATGGCACAATGTTATTCCCACATGTTTCTGGAGGGAAAGCTTATGGCACCAATATTTTCCTTAAAAATTGTAACAGTGGATTATTTAATAGCAGCTTTTTTTACACAATGTGCTGAAATTAGTATGTAGGGTTGCCACATTTTTCTCAGATAGCATTCCTCTACCTTGAACAGCTTTGGGATAGGCAGAAATTGTTTAGATGAAGATACAGTGATTGGAAAAGATTCAGTTATTGATGTTTTTCTGTTATGCAGCTATTAAGACACTAAAGTCATAGGTGGTAACCTAGTTGTATAAGCAACAGTATTTACATTTACTTTCCATTTTACACTATACACCTGTTGGATTATTTACATTGGGTTTATGTTACAAAGAAAGAATGAGAAAATACAACTTTCACAACAGAGGTAGGTTTTTTTTTTTTTTAACCTCAGCCACAGTTCTGACTTTAGGGAGGAAGGTACGTTCAGTGTAAATACTTTTCAGAGGTTTCTGAAATTACAACATGTACAGTTTAGAAAATCTCTATTCCCATGTTTTGGCAGCACAAATTAGGGGAAATATGTAGCCTGCTCTTTCCTTAAAATTCAGGACAGTTATATATCCAATAATGATTTGATTCATTTGTTATAGAAATGGACTGGAAAAGGTGAGAAGGTCTCTAATAGGAAATTAATACCTGATAAAAGAGCAAAGAAACCCAGTGCTGTCTTTGACAAAACAGGGATAAGAAGGCTAAGGATTTGGCATTTTTGCATTTTTAATATGTTTGTCTGGCTAAATATCCAAGTAAGAACAGTTTGAAGGATTGACAACAGCAGTCAAGTTGGCACTGCTCTGGTTAGATTATTCATGTGAATTATTGTGAAGGAGGAAGTGGGACACAGAAGGCACTTTTTATTTGTTTCCACTGCCTTTTTACTCCTCCAGCTAGTTTTAAACTGAAGTAAGGAAATATGAATGACAATTCTAAAGCTAAGCTCCCCAAACAATTTCTGATTTTTAGTTAGTTTCAGAAAGAAAATTAAGCCAAATTCAAATGCCAAGTTAAAAATTCACTTTTTAATTAGGTACTTATGTTATCTATGCTTTAAAAACCCCACCAAGAGGGCCATTTAAGGCATCTTTTAAAAATCCCTGTATGGCTTTGGTTTGCTGAAATAGTACACTTTACTTTAAAAAAGGGTGTACATCAGAACATAAACTGTTCACACACACAGGATTTCAATGACTATACACATAGCACATGACCACTAGCACATCTCCCCTTGTGATGGTGAACTAAGAAGTAATTCAGAGTTTATCTTACAGTAGAGGGCAACCCAGAAGTCTGTGCAGAAGAAACATATAGAGAGTTGTTATCAGGATGGGAAGACACTACAGAATTTCCATTGGTTGGTGAACAGCCCAGTTTCAATTTTTCCAAGTACTCTGCATGTACAGGCTTGTGACACTGAAGGACCTTGATTGCATCCTCAACTTTAAACCATTCTCTCTTCCTTCCTATAATGAGAAAACAGCAAATGTTTCAAAGAATAAAAACCATGACTCTTCACTGTGTTAATTTAAGTAGAATTTCTACCAACTCCTGAATGCCACTCCCGCTAATTCTTACTATCCACTAATAAACCCACTCCCTAATTTTTGCTACCTAAAGATGCCAAGGAGATCAACTGTGGTCCAGGAAATCCTCATCCTTCTTTAAGAACTTGTTTCTGCTCTTAGTAGTGGCAAATAGCACTGTGGAAAACAAGGGTATTAACTGCACCCTGAAAAGATCTCTCAACTCTGTTCATGAACTTTCGAAATTGCTCTTATGCTGTTTGGTGTTGAATAACAATCCCAAACATAATGATAAATAAAGGCTTCAAAGGCTTGTTGCAAAGGACAGCATAGAAATGTTTAAATTAAATTAATTTATCACAGGTGACTGAAAGGGTCAGTGTGAAAGACTAACAGGCTAGTGTCTAATTATATTATGTACAAATGAATATGCAAGTTAGTTTATCCACCTGCTCTCTTGTCAATGAACAAGTTTCTTGTTCTCGCCTACTGCTTATTCCTCTTCTTTCCTGCTGCCCTGTTCCAGTGCATTAAGACATGTGGCATTCCTAATATTACTTTCAAAACTTTTACAATTTAAAATGATTTCAGAATATGTCATACATCATTAGACTGGAAATGTCTACTTGTACACATGGGTGTACAATGACATTAAGGTTAAAATAACCTGATCTTAGCCGCTCTTTATTTTGCCTTGAACTTTTAAAACTTCAGCTATAACCTGAATAGGGTACTACAAGTCAGATATCTGTTTTCTAAAAATAGCACTGTTCTGATATTGCATTACAGAGTTAGCAAATGCAGAGCAGAAAAAGGCTTGCCTATATTAACAGAATCCTCCCAGTCTTCCAGGATTTCAGTCACTGTAAGAACATATACATAAGTTCTATGCTTCCGGTCTTGATTCTGCTTCAGTATGAAGAAAAGAGAACACAAAAATTTTAATTCATGTTTGCAACATTAGAGATTTACTTTACTTGATACTTATAAATTACAACAAATTCTTCTCAAAACTGAAGAGAAATGCAGATCACATTATCAGTCAATATTAAAAAAAACAGGAATTAGAGGGAAAAACAAGTTATAGCACTACAGAAATACTTCTAATGTGTTTGCCAAGATTAGAGGCAGATATTACTTTTGCCTTCTGCTTGACAAAAGAACTCTGATGTTACAAGGAGGGTTATACTTTGTCCAAGAGCATTTATTTCATTAGAAACCATAGACTATGGGTTTCAATGTAACATTCCAACTGATTGTATAGCTCAGTTCTAAGCACATTTATTTGCAAGTCCTCAGTGCTTTCAATAAAACATACTTTGAACTGTATTGATTTAGTTAGGATCTCTGTGTAAGTTTTAATAAAGCAGTCACTTTTGTGAACCAGCAAGAATGGGCTCCTGTCAAATTAAGTTGTCTTTCCCTCCACTTCTCTTCTAGCGATAATCTGTTTGTGGGTAGATATGGTATTTTTTTATTCCAAAATAACGCCTAGTTATTTGTTATAAATGCAAAAGGACATTAAATTTCTACTCTTTAATTCAAGTGTCTGTTATCTAGCTTACTCATCCTCATTTCCCCATATTTGCAGAAGTATAAGCCATATTCAAGAACTTTAAAAGCAAACAAGAAAGCTCACCTCAAATATGCCCAGCAATCTGCCTAATTTTCCTTTCACCCCAGCCTGCAAGGAAAAAAGATTGTAAAATTTGTTTTCATCCTCTACAACATCCAATTCTTGTTTCAGTGTAGTATGTTAAATTGTAGACTGGAGTGCTACATCCCATGCACTTCTGATAAAGGTTTCATGATCTCCTAACTTTATGACCTAGTTTGAGCACATGTGAGGGGACATTACAGCAGCATGCAATAACACATAGCTGAGAACAGACTAGATAGGGAGGCATTTTTCTCTATCACATATAATAGTAAAATGCAGGCTAGACATGGAGCTGACTGGTGAGAAAATCTGGACAGAACAAAGGGAGTAAGTCATCACACAGCATATGGTTAAACTGTGGGATTCTCTTCCACAAGATGTAGTGATTACCACCAACTCTGGACAGTGTTCATAGGAGACTAGAGAACGTCATAGAAGACAAGGCTATCAATAGCTACCAGGCCTGATGTCTATATACTACCTCTACCATCATCATACCAAGTGTTGGGGAACATGGACAGTAGCGTGATGCTGCATACATATCCTTCTTTGGGTTTCCTTTTAGCAGCTGGATGGCTACTATGTGAAAAGAATGCTGGATTAGAGGCACCCTTGGTCTGATTCTTTTACATCTCATACTAGAGGTAAGGGTGATCACACAAAGCACTATCGGCCTTGCATTTGTTCCTGCTGGTTGCTTCACTTTGCTGCATAATAGCACCAGCTCTTGCTAAGATATTTGTGTTGTGATTTACACATGTGAAACCATGTGACTGTTGCAGGTTTATCATCTTATCTTCTAGGGCTATAGATCTCATTAAAAATAATTTAAACATCATCTATTATTATATAAGAATTTGCCCTATCTTGTAGACTAGATAGCAGAATAGCACATTTGTTAGTCTCTTGCACCCTCTTCTACTAGGTCACTGTGTATTGATATGCAGGTATGTTTTAGCATGCATCAGCACAGAAGCATGTTAAGTTTCATACTTTTATACCAAACGGCATGGTTTTAGGCTCAGCTGTTCTGAGAGTTTACAGTCAACAGCTCATGAAGAGGGCTTATTCTACCAGTAAGCAGTGAGTCTACCAATCACCTCAGGCAAGGGTTGGGTGAGGGGAGACAACAAGGTGTTTGAAGATACACCTGTGCACATTGAGTTATGTGGTGTAGTTTGGCCTGGCCCTTCTAAGTTAATCTGCTGCCTTCAGATGCAGTGAAGAATGCTATCTAGTTACTAGTGCTGGAGTAAGATACAGTCACCAGTCTGGTCACTTTTCATATCTGTAATGGCAGGGGTGAGGGCATAGTCTTGTCCTTTGCTTCAAGCAGCAAAGTGTGTTTGGGCAGCCCTGTTCAGAAACTTCAGAGCAGCAGAAGCAGATGGGTTCTTGCTATATATTATAAACTTGGAGACTGCCAACCAACTCTGGCACACAGCTCACCCAACACTACTGCTACTGTCTGAAATCACAGCTTCAAAGAAAACCAGAACTGATTCCTCCTAGTTCATGCTGTGTATGACATTTAAATACCTTAGTATGTAATGAGTAGCTTTTGCTCTCACCAAGTTTTCTTTGGTAAATTATCAGTTAAAATGCAGAGGAAGAAGATCCATGCATTAGTTCAAATTGAGAATTTGCAATTGATTACCTCTTCATAGACTTCTCTGACAGCAGCACCGCCTGGTTCCTCTTCTGGTTCCATTCCTCCACCTGGAACAATCCACTGATCTGGGTACCGACTGCTGCTTACTAATAGTACCTGCAAAAGAAAAATAAGGTACTTTTTTATGACTGCATGAATTTAAAACATAATTAAGATACATAATTTATGTTTAAAAAACTAACTGGAGAAGGTTGTAAACAATAAGAGTTCTGCACCCATTCTTCTTCCAAGGAATGTACAAATGTGTATTCGATTTCATGCTATGGAGTATTCATCAAAGGTTTAAGTATGTTGTCCCAAATGCCTATGTGATTCACTGTCACCTTAATGTAAGACAGTTTGATAAGACCAAATTAAGTTTTTATGCAATGTCCTTTCTAACAACTTTTGGTTGGTTGCTTTGTTCTTGAAAGGTATTTTAGTAAATAATTTGAAAGATACTCCTTTTCATCGCAAGCATGGTATTATTTCTTAATATGTATATATTGCTCCTTTGGAAAAAATTGAGAAATGATTTACTAAGGAAAACAAGCATAAATAAGACTACACACTACCATTAAGCTATAGCATCAGTATACAATATAAGTTCTTAGGCATGTCTTATCTTTGACTATCTGAACAATCCCTGGTGAAATAAATGATTATGTATGAAATATGTAGTGCAAATCATTCATATTAATAGCATTTCACATGTCCAGAGGAGAATCAAAGTACCTAGTGATTTACTAATGTGAATGATCCCCAATTTAAAAGAAACTAACAGTAGAAATAGAACCTAAGTCAGAATATTGAAAGAGTCTTTAAATTTCTGCCAGAGATTTTAGAATATTACTTATATAAATGTACCTAGATCCTCTTCTCTGTCAAAGGTCCAGGCCCATTCTTGATAATAAATATCTGTTTTTGAGACCTGATTCACGTGTTGAAACTTGGGTTGTAATTTTGAGTTAATACGGCCTTAATCATGAACAGCCCAAGAATAAAACCTATGGTTTGTTAATGGGACATAAACTCTTGTGTTCTTCTAATTTTGAGTTGTCATTACATACAAACTGAAAACTGTTGAGTTGATAATGAGTTGTTTCATCATGCTATGGAGGTTCTGGACAAAAGTTTTAACCAGTACCCAACATTTTGTGTAATCAGCAAACTTGGCATATTCACTGCTCACTCCTAATTCTAGGTCATTTATGAATAACTTGGAAAGCATTGTCACAATTTGGGTTGTGATGATTCAGCAGAATCTGGCTCTCTTATGCTTGTCAGACTTTTTAATGCTTGGCCCTGGCTTAGGAAGCAAGCTGAGATAAAGGGTTATCCTAACCCTTACTAATTTTATTTTTCATAATGTTTTCAACCACCTTAACTGTAACAGACATTAAACTAACCAACTTGTAACTTCCTGTATCTTCCCAGATTCCTTCTAAAAAATTAGTATTACAGTGACCACTGGGGACCTGTTACATATTCTTGCACTGAAACTGCCTTTGAAAACAGTCTGGGACCTTCAACTGATCCAAAGCAGGGCACCAAGATTGTTAATGGGAACTGATTTACAAGAACATATTATCCCAATCCCCTTCCAGCTACATTGGCTGCCGACTGAAGTATGGGCCTGATTTAAGTGATAGTGCTAATATTCAAAGCCCTAAATGGCTTGGGGGCCAGGTTATCTGATGTATCAGCTCCTCCAATATGTACCTACCTGGACCCCGAGGTCATCTTTAAAGTCCTTCTCTGGGAGTCCCTTCCAAAGAAAGTGAGGTGGGTGGCTACCAGGAGGATGGCCTTTTCAGTTGTGAAAACATGTTTTGGAATGAGCTCCCCAAGAGGTGCATCCAGTGCCTACTTTGTATTATTTTTGGTGCCAGGTAAAGTCCTTTTAATTTTCCTAGCATTTTAACAGTTTACCTATTTAACTTTGTATATATTCCACTTTATTCTGTACTGCTTCTATGCTGAACAATAGCTATTGCTATTATGGTTTTGTTCTTTTAAGTTAGTGGGGTTTTTTATTTTTAACATTTGTTAATCACCAGTTGGGCAGTATAAAGATGAAAAAAAGCCAAATATTCTTGGTAGAAGATCATTAATTTCATATTTGACTTCTTTATGTACTCTAGGATGGCTATAATCTGGCCTAAGTGTTTTACTAATGTTCAATTTGTCAAAAGGTTGAGAACTTCAATTTTCTGCCACCTGTGTTTGATTTAGTTCCACAGAATCCTTTCCTAAAAACATCAGTTCAGGCACAGGTCTCTATTTTATATCTTCTGCAGTGAAGAGAGATGAAAATAACTAATTCAACTTCTGTGCAATCTCCTTATGCTTCTTTAGTTCTCCTTAACTGCATGATCATCCAGTAGTCTAGTAGTTTCCCTAGATGGCTTCCTGTTTCTCATATCAATAATCCTTTATTGTTCACCTGGATGTCATGAGCATTTTTTTCTGGCATCTTATGCAAAGGAAATGCAAGCAAACTAAGTTTGAGGTCCCCTTTGTTCTCCTCATTTGGACAAGATTTTTCTAAAAGAAGCCTTCTTTTTTCTTACAGCTTCCTTCACACTGTTATCTTTCCTAACCTTCTATATACTGGCCTTGTTCAATCTGTTTGAAAAAACTCCAGTTTTAAGTGATCTTTAGAATAACTCTATGTATTTAAACTGCATTGATTTACTCAATTAAATATTAAGTGGAGAACAGTACTTTAAGAACAGTAGAACTACAAGCAGGATTCTACTTTTTATATTTGAAAGGTATATATTTTGAATTCCTTAACAACATCCCAGAGAATGGATTAACCATGGGTTGTCATTATGTTTGAACTTTGCACTGTGGTTGCACTATGTCTGTTAACTTTAGGCAACACAGAGTTTACAAATCATGGGTTCCTTTCCTGGGTTGTTCAACGTTATTAACTTATAGTTAAATCATAGTGCAGGGTTCACCTGTAATGACAACCCATATATCAACCTATTTGATATATTCACTATTACCACCATATACTCTGTTTAATAGCCCAGTACATTACAGCTTCCAGACTTCCACTACACATAACTAGTGGGGCAGTGACTGGTTTTCAAGTGCATTTTGTCTTTGATTTCCATCCTCAATTTCAGGACTATTTCAGCTAGGCTTATCTTAAGCAATGACTGGTCTCCATTTTTCTGGGAAACTCCAGGAGTTATGAAAAGACATTTCTTTTCTAGTAATATCGTAACACAAGAAAGCCAGAAAATCATAGACTGAAACAATACTGCCTGCAATATCTTTTGGAAATTACAATTCAAAGTAACTTATTGTTCACATTCAAATGTCTTCATAATCTATCAATTATTTTGTTTAAAGGCCGAGACAGACAATATTAAGTCATTTGATTATGCCATTGCACTTCCTCAGGTAGCAACTACAATGATCAAGAGCAACAGGGATGCATAATCAACAGCTTCAGAAATGCAACAGGGATGCATGTAACTTGTGTGAAATTCAATCATGTAGTTCCACTGATGGGAATGATTTCTTTCAGCAGAATCAGGAGGTGACAATTCATGCAACAAGCCCTCAAAATTCACTCTAGAAGGCTGAGGTACTCTCTGGAGCATGCAGAAAAAAGAATGTGTTCTATTATGCAATTGATCTATCAGGCAAGTAGCAAGTTCAGTTTACAAAGTGTCTGTAAACTATTTGTCTTGTATCCTGTTGTAATTCTAAACTTTGATAACTGGATTTTTATAAGACAGGTAATAACAAATGTTTTATACTGTACTCATACACTGAATGATACCTGAGGTTTTTTTAGTGAAAGAACTAGTACTTTCCATAGTCATTTGAGTGACCACCAACAATTATGAGCAGGATTGTTCTCTCTATCAAAACACTCAGCTTAGTGAAATTGTTTCAATCAGCATTTACATTGTTGAGGCCTGTGATCTGATAGTCTAGTTACTAGCACAGGGAGGAAAGAGTCATTGTTTGGGTTGCCTGGAGCTTAAATACACAGCTTTGTACCATTACATAAGATTCAGAAACATGACATATCAAAACATGGCACTGTTTTGAATGACTGACCCTAGCATTAGTGGAAAAAAATTAGGTGTTTACAATGCCAGAAGTCATTTATGTTAAGACATTAAATAAACCAAACTTCATATTATATGATCAAATATCAGTTTCAAAACATATGTCGCATATGACTTACAGTCTAACTACCTCACAGGGTTTCAGTGAGGATACAAGTGTGTGCCTGTGTCAGGGAAAGAGGATTGTGGAAGTGTCCTTGGGGTGGGGGAAACATGATATAAATGCACTACTGCTAATAACACAAGAATGCCACCAAAGTGGTTCACAACAGAATGTATTAAATTAAATCTGATATTTAAAATTCATTTTCATCTCCCAAGTACCATTTTTCACCTGGTTCAATATGTAATTATTTATCAGCCTTTATAGCATCCACTTAGGCCAAAGTCAATGAGTTAGGTATTCATCCAGGTCTTCCACCAGATTGCAGTAAATAATAACTACTTCATATTTGTAATCTAAAAGCTATTAGAACTCTTTCTAGTTCCACGTATCCATGGCCAGAATATTCCACCTAAGGTCAATACAGTACATAATGGCCATTCACATTGCTTAGCATCATGCTATAACCTGATAGTCATGCAAAAAACATGGCTATGCAACAATATTCGTACCACACATAATTGCTACAACTATCTCCGTGCTTTTACGTAATCCTAGCATGCACCACAGAATCATCTTCTAAACTCAGATATGTAGACCCATCAAGGGTCCTAAGAGGCTAGCTCTCTACCCTGCAAAAGGCAACCACAGAGCTATGTTCTAATTTGAGTAGCATAGGGCAGCATCATTCATACTGAAGTCTGTTTTCTTATCATATGGCTTTGGTCTATTTAACAAATGCTGAGCACTTTTTGGTTCTGTTATTATATGGAGTATTTATTTATTTAGGAAGCTTCCATGCCGCCCCATTCGCCAAAGCCTCAGGGCGGCTCACAACGATAAATAAATAATAACAATATAAAGACAATATAAAACAATATAATTTGAGACGACCTGGCCAAAGTATGACTACA